TTAATAGTAAATAATGTTAATAAAGACAATGACAACGAAGCAAAACAGAACAGAAAATGTGACCATTAAAAGGTCAACTTATAGCTATATTTTGGGCTTTTTCTATTTCTAACAGAAAACACTTAATCACACTTAAAAATCATCAACTCAAAAACGAATGCATAATTATTTTACACTGGTTTCTATGTACACACATAATTAATCATAGTCTACTTCTTCTTCTTGATCTGTGCGTTGTCTCATTGAGCTTTCATTCACTCATTAAGCAGGGAGGAGATCTTCACTCGCTTGACTGCACTACCAGCTGTTGGCTTGGTAAAGATCATCCACTATGACCTGATCATTAGAAAGTATTTGATACTGAGACAGAAGGTAAACAAGGTTTCACCCAGGTGCATCCAGCCCATCAACATCCAACACATTCCCTCCTCACTTGGGAGCCTTTCCCCAAACTGTTTATTTCTTTCACAATGATCCAAACTATTTATCTCAAAAATGACAAAAGACTAGCAAACGCAAAAGGATTAAATGTGCGTGTGTGGTTGTGCGTGTGTGGCTGCTGTCTCTGATGAAATGGTCTTAGAAGATAACAGCCAGACATCGCATACAAGAAACTAAAGTGTTTATAATCATTAAGAAGAGATGCAGCACTCCATGGGAGGAGGAGATTAGCATGAACAGATTAGAAGAATGGATATAAATAACACATACACACAGGATTGGGTTGAAAGGGAGCTATAAATCTGAAATATTTAATAATAAACCAATTTTTACAACGGATTTGGATTTGAGATGCTGGTTCTGATAGCATAAACATAAAGCATAGTATAGTTTTTTTCCGACATATTTGTATTACTTCCGTTTTTCCATCTAATCCGTTGTCATGGGATGGACCAGGCCTAAAAATAGAGTTTCTCATCAACTCTATGATACCGCATTTGTCTTAATCTGACCAGGAAAAGGATGTTTGTGTTAACTCTCAGTCACCGAGGCTCCTGGGACCGTCTGGCTCAGAGGTCAAAGCTCAGTGTTATGTAAAGAATGATCTATGCGGATGATTAAATCAAAAATATGTGTAGATAATGTTCTTGATGAACTCTGTTTGAAACTGAGGAGGAGTAAAGTAAATCATGCAAAGTACAATGAAATAATGGCTTTTATTGTTTTACTATATATCCCGTTTTTGTCTCCTCAGCCAAGTGTAGGATTTAAAACGTTGGGCTGTGCATGAGGGTGATTCGTTGAGAAAAAATGTTTCACGCGACGCGACTAGACTAGTGTGGATTATCTGCCGATGGGTGTGGAGAATAAGACACACAGGGTTAGAGAACATCCTGCCTCAGTACTGTATGTCCACACATACCCAGAATGATAAGGTACAGTTGTATCATCAAATGCAATACAAATCTGTGTGATGATATTTGAGAAGCCACTGGGACACAGTAATCTGTTCCACCGTATTAAAGTGTGGACTTGTTGGCTACTGTGCTTCCTCATCAACAGTAATAGGCCAAACCTGCAAGGATTTCCCTCCAATCACAGGCCTGTGGTATCTTAATGACTTTTTCTCGGAAGATGACAAAAGTGCTTTCCATCTAAATGTGTCTATCTGGTGTGTTTTACTGCAACGAGCAGATCAACCAACTCTGATTGAAGCAATGTGCTCAAATAGTTTAGACATTTCAGTTATTTTCATTACTAGAGCCACACACATGCTTATGACAACTACAAAAAAGAGAGAGTGGAGGGAGTGAAAGTTAATTTTACCCAGAGTCACCTGGCTCACTCAACCGTAGACTTCGCCAAATTAAAGATTTTAATTCATCCTTAAGCACACGCTAATACAAGCAATCACCTGCCTGGTTAAAACTCCAATCAAAATGCTAATTGCAATCCTGAACAGTTTGGGATTTATTATTCTCCTTTCGTTACACTTTACTGTCCCTGCTTCCCTTTTGGTGGTTGCCAAAAAGGTTGTGACATTATAAAAATATGTGTGATTATATTCACATTACTGTTGACTTATTTCCTTACACGTTATTCATGGGACAAGTCTACAGCTGTTGGAGGAATGCTAGTGCTTTTGCGGATTAAGTGATTGGGGATTGGCATTGAGACTGTGCAGTTGTTCTTGGTTATAAGCTTTTGTTGGTGCAATCATGCCTGTCATCATGCATTTTTACTATTGCTACAAGGATAAGCTAGAATCATGGTTTCATTTATGCTTGCAATGTCTCATGTGTCAAAAGGAATAAGTAGCAATACTAGATTTGTAGCTGTTCCGGAGCTTTTGATCAAGATGAAATGGAATCCTTTGCCAAAAGATATCTTGGTTGATTCTTACAAAGCCTCAGGAATATTCCTTTTAAGGAATATTAGATGGCTGCAGTGATGTGCATAGTGGAAGCAAATGAAAGACCTCAAGGACAGCTCAGTAACACAAAATATTTCCCAACAATACAGCTACTCAGGGTGGATTCAAACAAAAAAAACAGAATCACTTTGGTCACTTTCATAAAAAGCTTTTCCTCCAGTCGCTGCAGCAGTGCAGATAGACAGATTTTGTATTTGTTCCACTTTGATCCCCGTCTCTGTCAAACCCCCTAAAACCTCTGCTTTCTAGGTCCCTGATTGCCTCAGAAGAAGCAGGCAAGGCTCCAGCAGGGTTGCCTTGACAACATATGCAGATTTTAGCAGCTTTGATTTGCAGTAAACAGAGGTGTATCAGTTTTCAAGATTCAAGGCTTTTATTGTCACATGTACATAGCTACAGTGTAGTTATGACAATGACATTCTTAGGTCACGGGCCTAAGATAATAGTGCAAGTAAATAAAATGAAATATAATATAATAGAAATTGTGCAGAATAGTCTATATACAAGTAATTGGAATATTGATATATGTAAGTTACAACCAGATGAATGTAATGGATGTTCTTTCAAAAGTGCAGGTGTTTAACATTCATCAATCAAGTTGTGTGTGTGTGTGTGTGTGTGTGTGTGTGTGTGTGTGTGTGTGTGTGTGTGTGTGTGTGTGTGTGTGTGTGTGTGTGTGTGTGTGTGTGTGTGTGTTTAAGGGTGACAGACAGACAGACAGACAGACAGACAGACAGACAGACAGACAGACAGACAGACAGACAGACAGACAGACAGACAGACAGACAGACAGACAGAGTGGCAAATAGAGACTGTCAACAACTTTGGCAACTGGGCATCTGTAACAGCTGGCATTCTTAGAGGATTGTCGACAACTCGCTGCAGCTCAGGATGAGGCGGTAACGCAGCAGCCCTTCCAAACCCAACAAACTCGAGAAAATAAATGATTCATGCTTCTCAGGAAACACTTTCTCTTCATAATCAATCACAAGGGAGTTGGGTGTCTTTACAGTAAGTGCCGGGCCTAGATGATGCAACTTTATGGTCATGCATATATTCTGTGGGTGAGCGCGTTCATCCCCTGTCGAATTAATTCACCTCAAGGTTGTTACAGCAGAAGAAAAATTGTCCCCACCTTACTGAATAATAATGCCCTTGGAGAATCTGAAAGTGTGGCTCATGGGCTTTCTGATAGGATGTGTTACTACTTTCTTTTTCTGATGTTTGGTGGCTATTGTTTTTTTGTCTGAATTATATATTTTTTGCAAGTATTATGTAAGATACAGGAATTTGAAGGAGCAGGAATGGAAACAAGATCATTATAATTAGAAATAATAACATAATAGGTAGTTTACATTAGTTAACTTCAATGTATACTTTCACTTCACTACATTCAAGAGGGAAGTATTGTAATTAAAACCCATTTATTGGATGAGTATAGTCAAGAGTTACTGTTCAGAAATAGATTTAAGTCATCAGTTTATGACAAACTAAACTGCCCAAATGTAATATTATATTTGAAATTAGCTCCACCCTTCACATTCAATCTTGTGCTACTGTTACACAATATTTAGGCATCATCATCATTCTGTGTGTTAAGTCAAGGAGAGAAGTACAATATATCACAATATATCCCTCATTTGCACCTAGACATTTTGTCAAGTGAGAGTGTCTTTAGCTGCCAGGAACACCCTGACATTGTCTACATCTGTGAGCAGAGACGCTGATTTAAAGCAGTTACCATCAGCTGCCAGAGGACCTGGTGACAGGCTGTGCTTTTATAAGGCAACAGATCAAAGGAACATTTCCATCCCACCACCTCCTTATTTCTTTCTGCAGCTTCTGCCAGCTTTTTTAGGCTTTAGGCGGCATGTGTCCTTCGAGAAAAATGAGCGTAGACAACAGGGAATGTGCCCTGTTTCCTGCTCTGCATAGAAATGCTAAGGAATGCAACGTTTCACAGATTTTTGCCCGGCAAGCTTTTTGGCACCTTTTCCTGGCTGTGTGTGTGTGTGTGTGTGTGTGTGTGTGTGTGTGTGTGTGTGTGTGTGTGTGTGTGTGTGTGTGTGTGTGTGTGTGTGTGTGTGTGTGTGTGTGTGTGTGTGTGTGTGTGTGTGTGTGTGTGTGTGTGTGTGTGTGTGTGCACCTTCTGGAATCTAGCCCTGAATCAGCTAATTAAATTGTATTATTTAAATTGGGAATTCTTAATGTAAGGCAAGGCAAGGCAAGATGTAGATAAAGATTATGTCGAACATGCTGTGAGGGGATTATCATATTGTTTATTACTCATGTATGTTAATGCGCATGCGCACTCTGCTCTTCCCCCTTCTCGCGCCAATTGAGCCCAATCTTAAACCCGCGTGCAGTTGCAGACAGATCCACCGAGTGTTTGAGAGGACGAGTCACAGACTTCAGCTCTGCAGGAACTGCGTCCTTGCGCTGGGAAACTGAACTCTTCTCACTTTGTTTTATTTTATAAGGAATGATGTTGACGAGTCAGAAGTTCATCAGCTGTTTTTTCCCCCTGAAGCTTCTCTTATCCTGACCACTGGGATAAGGATGAAAAGGTGAAAGTTGGCATCTGGAGATCAGTGATAAACATGCGCTAATCCCTGACCCTGACGGATTGATGTGAGGGATATACATTTATTTTTGTTTAAATCAATCCGCAAGAAAACGGACTTCAGTTGAAAGGATGTATGCAGGTGAGTGATAATTCATAATACAATATCATGATTTAGGGCGTTTAATGATTTATTTATGTTTCTGAGAGAGAGCGATGCAAACAGGGCCAGAGTTTCTAATCTTTGATAATGTTTAGAGATGTCGTTTTGTTGGCAGAATCGTGTTCATAGGCTTGTGTTTTTTCAGGTGCAATCCCCATTTTTTAGGCAAACTAAATTATATCGCAATGAAGATTGTAACATCCTGAAGACATTACAAAAAAATTGATTAAAATCGAACTATGTTTTTGTTTAAATTGTCTCTAGTGTAGCTAAAGTGCTGAAGTGACATCTTGTCCCTTTTTTAGCAGCATGTTGTGGCTACCTGGACAGGAGGATTTGGGAAGCCCGTGTTCCTCCCTCACACACACACACACAGAGAGAGAATAGTCTCACTGGAATTTCATGGGAAATGATTCATTTAAATAACATCAAAAACTTACATTTAGGGAAGTGTCATGTCAGTCAAAAGAAGAATACTTTGTTGCAGTAATTTAATCTAGTTTCATATTTGAAGTTTTCTTGAGGTTTGTTACTTATTGTCTGGTTTCATATTCTTATTATATTTTTTTGATAGATATTAGTATTGTTTTTGAAAATGTCTTATTGTCTGAAACTGGCCCCCTCTTAGATCACCAACCCTCACAGCCACACATAAGAATATATTGTGTCTGCAGCCAAACTGATGCTTTTCCCTTGTTGTTTGCGAGTGGACGTTTTTGTCAACATGCCACTTTGGTGAAATCTCAAAGCAAGATTTTGGTGGCCTTGTTCCCTCAGGGATAGATATTTAGGTCATATTTTATGTAATGGACACAAGCTATGACTTCATGACACATAAACCTTTTTATTTTTTTATCACAATATCTTAGGAAACAGCAGATTTTCACAACTGCTACTGAAGTCCACTGTGTTACGTGTAAACCTTAGAGAGAAAAAAGGAAAGGACTTAAAAATAGATTGATGATTTAAGCAAGCAGATGGTGGATGCAACATGTACTTATTCTCTTCCTGTCTAACTTTTGAACTCCCCACGCGTGACCTAGTATAGAAATTCAGGGAATGCCCTGAGCTGAGACTACAACCACTGACACACAAATCCTGCTAAGCTCCTTTTATTTCCGTTATTCGTTGAGTGTACCCTTACTCATACTGTCGCCTTTTTTTTTACAGTGTGGATATTTTTCCTGCTCATTGATGAAGGATTTGCTCTGGCACAACAGAATAAAGGTTAGATTGATACATAACATCAAGACACATATTGTAATTTAATTAAAGATCACTGATTTATTTTTCAAAATGTAATATACCCTTGCCTCCCTTGTGTCAATCATCTTTATTTTGTATCAGTAACTGCACAAATACCTTGATAAAATAGCAGAATGTTTTGTCTGTAATGCTGCATTCATTCAGATGCAGGATCAAAAGGGGTTAGACCGTCTCAAAGGCCGCTGCGTTCTCATCACTGTGGAAACTGGCTACGAACCACAGAAGGTGGTACCTTCAACTCCCCAAACTACCCCAAAACATACCCAGCCAATAAGGAGTGTCTGTACGTGCTTGAAGGTAAGCAACAACTTATACTTGAGCAAAATGATTTCCCTGCTTTACAAGGTCAGATTACTTAGTTGGAAATAAAAAGAATCCTGGTATTCGTAATAATCGCCTCCTCTGACATTGACAACGTTACTCATCATTTATCACAAGTGTTTTGGGATTTTCAACAATGCTCTGTTTTAACATGTGCTTGAATACTAGAAATTACTCACCAATGCTAAGGTTTTACCTTGGTTTTTCAAGATCAAACAAGCATGCAGGCAATAGCTTTTTCACAATGCAATCCTCATTATATTGCACACCAAAGAATGCACTGTTTTGTCCTTTCGTGCATCACTTTCCCTATAATTGCTCCCGGAGCCCACACTACAGAACGATCCTACAGTAATTCTTTGGTAAAGATTTGAAAGGAGAAAATATTTTGTCACTGTGTGTCCATTCTCTGGGAGCATTATATCCCTGAATGACCTCTGTTCAGTCGATGTGACACAGTGCTCTGCTTCCAGCCCTGCCCCGCCAGAGGATAGAGCTACTGTTTGATCCGACCTTCTACATCGAAGGGTCATTTGAGTGTCGTTTCGACCACATCGAGGTGAGGGACGGTCCCTTCAGCTTCTCGCCGATCATCAACCGCTTCTGTGGCTCAGCCAGTCCCGGGCGTGTGCTTTCGAGCGGACGCTTTATGTGGATCCGTTTCTTCAGTGATGAAGAGCTGGAGGGGTCTGGCTTCCGGGTCGAGTACACCTTCACAGCAGGTGATTCAAACCCAGTGGGGCGGTTTATTGACCCCTGTGTGGATCTCACCGCACCATCCTGGTACTTAATGTGCATTAGGACTAATTTAATCTACTCCACTGCTAATCAAATGTGTCTTTATGATTTCCTTCCAAAGATCCTGAATTTCATCTGCATGTGGGAGGACTCTTAAACCCAATCCCAGGTAGCACAACCCCACAGATCTCCTGCTAACTTTAGTGGTGCATCTCTCAAGTTATATGTGATGCAAATGCATGGAAGTCTGCTTTCACTATCACCTCTAATCCCCTAATCTCCTTGTTTTCCATTGGTCTGCTTCTTGTCCGTGGGTCAGACTGTCAGTTTGAGCTGTCTGGGGCTGACGGCCTGATTCGATCCAGTCAGGTGGATGAGGAATATAAAGTGAAGGCCGACCAGGCAGTGGACTGCATCTGGACTATACGAGCCCCGACAAACAACAGGGTATAGTGACAAGTGACAAGTTATATTGCATGTGTTAAGACAAACTATGCATTTATAATCCAACCGTCTACACAAGGCCACATACAGTTAAAATGACTCGAATTTATTTATATTTGATCCTTTAATGCAGCAATACCTTTAAACATGTCTTCTAGAGGTGTAGAATACACTAAACTGCATGAAAAATGAATAAAAGGTACAGTTTATCCGTCCTCATTGTTTTTTCCAGATTTACCTGCGATTCTTGGAATACCAGATGGAAAACTCAAATGAATGTAAGAAGAACTTTGTGGCTGTTTATGATGGCAGTAATGCAATTGAGGACCTAAAGGTAATTTATTTTTTAATATGAGTAACTCCAGCCTGTCAAATGAAAGCCATTTCTTCTAATGTATTTTATTAGTTGCACATTATTCTACCAGTTTTTCTCTCCTTCTGCTACACAGCAGGGGTTATCTTTCTTTCCTTGTTTTACATTCTCCTTTTAACCATAATTCTTCAATCATTCATTTTTAGCAACTGTTGTACAGACCTTGGCCTCAATGAGACGACACAACCAAAACTATAAGAGAGAATGGTGTGTGGTTTCTTGCAGGCAAAGTTTTGTAGTACAGTAGCTAATGACATCATGCTGGACACCGGTATTGGAGTAGTGAGGATGTGGGCCGACGAGACGAGCCGTCTCAGCCGCTTTAGGATGCTCTTCACTTCGTTTGCAGACCGTGAGTTTCTCCTTCAGATTATTCCTAACCTGTGTCGTTTTTCGTTTTTACCATGTTGCTTTTGTTCAGTTTCTGTATCAGATAATGCAAGCACATATGTTGCAAAGTTGCATTACATGATGGTATATTCAATGAACAAGGCTGGGTTGAACAGAGATAAATAGCATGTCTGAAATGGGATACCTGTCAAACTCCTTTGGCCAAGAATTAGAAGAATGTATCCTCGCTGTTAATGTCACTGTCACGCGTTTGTCTTTCAGCGCCCTGTTTAGGCAGTGCATTCTTCTGCCACAGTAACATGTGCATCAACACTTCTCTGGTGTGCAACGGCATACAAAACTGTGTCTTTCCCTGGGATGAAGGCAACTGCAAAGGTACTCCAGCTGTCCCAAAGGATGTGTAATTCTTTCTAAGAAAATCCACTATGCTGTGCTGTTTTACAATGAGTGGTGTTGTGTGATGTGATGACATGTCTGGCTTTGTTGTGTCACATTGAGGATCTTTTGCTCTAATTCAAGAAAAAAGACACTCACGTGGGCCCCACTCTCTTAATTTACTCAAATTATCCAAGCAAGGCTTTTATGTACATTTTCAACCTATTAGAACAGAGCAGGTCTTATTGGCAAATGTTTTGAGGCAGGAAAAATGATCAGATCAACTTCAATGCCTTTGTGGCAAAAGTCCTGCTGATGAGGCTTTTGGCTGTTTAGTGGCTCTAAAGGCCCTGACACACCAAGCAGTCACCAGAGAACTCGCCGACGCCGACTGTTGCGTCGCCGTGTTCTCCTGCGTCTTGGCCATGTGTCGCACTGGAACACACCGCAAAGACTTCAGCCTAGCACGTACGAACTGCGCATGCGTGAGTGGCAAGAACTCTCCTTACCAGCAGGCGGCGGTAGTGTGTATTCGTCATTCAAAAGAGGCAACAACCGGAAGACAGAGAAGAAGAACAGACTGCGTGATCTAAACAAACAACAAATAGCGTGTGCGTTCCATTTTCACTCTTGTCCATCGAAAACATGTTTCGTGCGGTACTGGAGCTATCAGCCATTGGAGTGTTGCTTGTGGAAGACATTCTCAAGCAACCGTTTCGCTTCTCATGCACTGATTCGCTAGCTGAACAGCCAATCAGAGTGATGTCTTTGTCCGACTGCCTGTGGCTGACGCACGGCCGATTCAACATGTTGAATCGGCCTTAAAGCTCCTGAATTGATTTTGGATGGCTGTTTATCAGCGGAACAGGCTTTTAGCAAAGGCTCTGAATTGTTCTTGGCAACCAAAGATAAAGACTGTCCTGATGAGAATGGCAACAAGTAATTGACCGGTATACTCTCCGTAACTCTAAATGTAACTCATATTTGATCTTTCTTTGTTACTCTTGTCATTTCTATCATTAGAGAAAAAGAGCAAGGGTGTTTTTCACGCGATCACAAAGACTCATGGGACAGTGATCTGCGTGTCTACGGGAGTGGTGCTCCTGCTCCTCATCATCTCAATTCTGGTGCAAGTCAAACAGCCACGTAAGAAGGTAATAATCCAAAGGGTATTATTAATTATCATGCCACAAAATATTGGTGAGGAAATACATGATTTATCAAATGTGTTCATTCATATTTCAAAGGTCTTGATACGTAAAAATAACCTTTTCCAACGGGGCGACGTCCAGGAGGTGTTTGACCCTCCACATTACGAACTCTTTACTCTCAGAGACAAGGTCAGTTTGATTACTTTGATACATTATTAGCTGGACATTTTCTTTTTATGTAACAACGTTATCCTTTTAGGAGATGTCTGGGGACCTTGGAGAGCTGTCAGAGGAGCTTCAGTCCTTGCAGGCGCTCAGGAGATCCTCATCCGGCTCACGATGCATTCACGAACATCACTGTGGCTCTCAGGTGTCTGTCAACTCCATCAAAGGCAGCCAAGGTGCACATGGCCTTCGAAGGGGATCCATGGATCTTCCTGCTTTAAGAGAGGACTTCCAAAACGCCTTACCTCCCTTTAGGGACTTGAACAGCAGTATGCGGAAGAAGAGCTGGCCTAGTATGAAACCAGCCCGTATGCAGGGCCATCAAGGAATAGGGGAAAGAGTGCTGGGGCAGCAGGATAGAGTGATGGAAGAGGAGGAAGAGGAGGAAGAAGATGGAAGGTATGATGTGTATGTACGCAGAGCAGGAAACCGAAGGGGAAACTATGAAATGGCCCAGCAAAGATCCTTGTCCATGGACTTCTGAAAAGAAAAAACATAAGTTTTGCACAGTAAATACTGCAGCGCAACTTCAGCCAGTGCCGCATTTTGGGAACAGTTCTTCATATTTACAGAAAATAGGAGACAATGCGTGGACACTGAAACAGCTGACATGAGACATTATTGTGCTATTTTTCATCGGTGTAAAAGTGAAGAAAGATGTTAATGCTGTTTAGTGTTCTTGTTGTAGTTAAAATATGTTTTCATTCAGTGTTAAGGTTATAAATAATGTATACAGAGTTTGATTACAATTTGAACACAGGATACTAAAATCAGCTCAGTTTTTTTTGTATGTGTTATTACCTGTATTAAAGAATAAATGCCTACATTTATGCACCATTGTTTTAGGAAAAATGTCATCCTGATACTGATATAGAGTCAGTTTTACACCAGATATTAAGCTACAGACCATTTTGGGATAGGATCACATCTTCGGCAAAGCTCGGACTTACATTTAGGAGGTTGCAATTTCTCCTTCTCCACTTCCTACCCCTCCAATTCCTGCACAATTGCTTGGACGACACCATTTTCAACCATGCCCTTCATTTTATTTGAAAATTCTATATCTTTAAAGTTTTATGACTCAATCGGTCAAGTGTCTCCTGGAGAAATGTTTTGCAATGATCATAAACTCGCACAGACTAAAGGTGAAAACAATACCACCGACATGCCGTCACGGTTGGTAAACACGCTGTTGTGCCTGGTTACTGTCAGCAACCGTCTGTCAGCTGTGTTGCTTACAGGAGGCAGGTGTGTGAGTTGAGGCGGGATCTTCCTAAAGGTGTGTCACACAAGTATGCTGGTTGGAACTTCCCATATAAAGTGAAATGTCAAAGTACGATGTTTTATAACATGATTAAATGAGCACAATAACATCAAACTGTTAACCTGCTTGATGGGAATAAAAACTAAATCTCAGTAATTTAGTTGGAATGCTGACACAGCATTCCAACTATCTGTTATGCTACGCACAAAATTCTTTATTATTCCGCCGGGTTATTTTGCGCTGCTTCTTCTCCCACATTGAACATCGCAGAAACTCCGTTCAAACATCAAAACGTTCAGCTCGGTTGGGAATCAATGGCTATTACTTTTATCATTCATAACTTTCATAATTCCAGAGATACATCCCATAATACATCCCATTTTTAACATGGAAGTCAATGGAGAACTCTTCAGACTTCAACAATCTTCATGCAACTTCAACTGCTAACTGCTCCTTCTTCAACTGCTAACTGCTCCTTCATACTTTCACTCAGAAACCTCATTCCAACTTTAAAATGTTTCACATCTTTCTGACATTATTCATGTATTACAACCTTGAAATCTGATTCTTACTTTTAGAGATATTAAACATTGTTCAGACCTTGGTAAAGAGGCCTTCTTCAGATTTTAGAGTGCGTGATGTCACAGCTAGAGTGGAGGACAGATTTAATTTTGCCTTCATATTTTCTTTTAAACCTGCCATAATTCCCAAACCCTACATTCCTGAGGCATAATCTTTCATGACAAACGTAGGAAAACATCTCGTAGCTTGAAAGATAAAAAAAAATAATTAAACAAAATGCCTCTTGAGGGCGTGAAGTGACAAAAACCTTCAACATGTCTCCATTAAAATCCATTGTAAATTCAGCCTCACCTTTCCCCACCACAGCAGCCGCACACCTTTAGTTAATCTGCCAAAAAGGCCACATTATTAACCCGAAAGTACACAAAAAGTACACTTCAGATGCTCAAGTTCCTTGACATGCTTCACGCTTTGAAATTTCACCGATATCTGTTACAGTTCTTCAACAAAACGTTCACATGTAACAGGTTTATCTCTCATTCAGAACAATGAAAATGCTTTCCTCTCACTAATCACCATGGAAACCTTTGATCTCTGGACACGTCGTTAGCTCAAATATAAACACCTGTGTCATGGAACACGATGATGTCATAACTCCAATTGACATAATTAGAGCAGCAGACTAATGACGTGGTCACTGGAGTTTAACAGACTGTCTCAGCCTATTCTTTTCTGTCTGATGGAGACTTCATACTGACTTCAACATGTTCCACATATTTTAGACATTATTGGTGACGTATGCTTTTAGTTCTAAAGTTTTCAGTTCAAATATTCTGCTGCTTTTTCATGCATTTAGACTTTTATTTTCTTGTTCTTATTTCACATTCAAGTCCCCTCTATTCATGAACCCTTTAAAGTACTCAGCCACACCACTTATATACCACGTGCGACTGTTGCTATGTCAGTTAATCTTTCAAATACAAGGTTGCTTGTTTGATTCAAGCTCTTGTAGTCAATATGTCAAGGTATTTATCCCTAACATCTTATCAGCTAACTAATGACACACACTCAGAGGATCTTTATAAACGTTTTAAGTATTGCACATCTTTAAACATGACTCTTATAAATCACTTTTAAAACCAGCGATGCACTACAGTGTCAGCTTTTCTAAAATAGAAACTTCAATGTTCACATCTTTCTAAATGATTCTACTTTTCAATGACCTACAAATAATGCTAATAATAATCCCATTTTCAATCTTCCAACTGTTCATATTTTTTGGTGAATCAACAAACCTGTTACAAATGTGTTGTTCAACTAATTTGAGCCTTTGCCACATTTATTTGATCACCATGGAAACCTTTGATCTCTGGACACGTCGTTAGCTCAAATATAAACACCTGTGTCATGGAACACGATGATGTCATAACTCCAACTGACATGCTCAGAGCAGCAGACTTCAGATAATGGTTAATGGTCCTGCCCTCAACAGCTCTACGTCAATTATGGGGTGTCATCATATGCCGTTTCCATGGAAACGCATCCCTCGCCATAAAACACGATGTTGCTGTAACTCCAATGGACACGGTCCGATCGTCCCCCAAACTTTGCTTGTATATCACCGGTCCATGCCTCAACAGCTCTGACATCTCACCATATGCCGTTTCCATGGAAACGCATCCCTCACCATAAAACACGATGATGTCGTAACGCCTATGAAAAGGGTCAAAACAGCACCACACTTCAGATAATGGTTAACGGTCCAGCCCTCAACAGCTCTACGTCAATTATGGGGTTTCATCATATGCCGTTTCCATGGAAACGCATCCCTCGCCATAAAAGACGATGTCGCTATAACTCCTATGAAAATGTTCAAAAAGTGCTCAAACTTCACATGTGTGCTAACAGTCCAGCCGTGAAGACATCTACGGGACAGTTTTGAGCTTTCTTCAAATGCCGTTGCCATGGCAACACAATGCTCGCCATGAAACACGGTTTTCTCATAATTTCAGTGAAAATGCTCCAAATGGCCCAAAACTTCACAGGTTTGGTAACGATGTAGCCATCAACGCATCTAACCGTATTATGGGATGTCATCAAATGCCGTTGGCATGGCGACAGATCATTCACCATCAAGTTAGTTCAAAAGTTTGCAGTTCAAATATTCTTCTGCTTTTCCAAGCCTTTTTACTTTCTTTTCTTCTCTCATCACACATTCAAGCCCCCAGTGTTCATGTATCATTTCAATCTAAATTCTTCACTTTCTTCTTACACATTACATTTCAGCATAGCAGTTTAGCGTCAGCTTTTCAGCGTAAAGCATTCCCACTAGCAATTTCTTCAGGAATTGGATTCTCTAGTGTTATCTTTAAGTCTGATGAAAAACAGTTGTGTACCAAACATCATCGAGTTGTAATAGATAAGTGGAACTTGGAGCACTGGAATGTGAAAGCTAAATATTTGATTATGAGTGCCAGCAATGACCTTGTAAAATGGTTCAACTGAGTTTCACTATAGTTTCTTATTATAACATGTTGTATCGCAATAATAATGTTGAGGAGAATCAGACAATGTAAAAAAGAAAATGCATATTGTAAAATCAGAGAAGTGTTTCTTTTTAGTTTTTTTTAATTCCCCAAAATGTATGTATTTTCTCACACGCCGCTTTGTGTTTAGTGTGCCACAATACTTAGATAACCTTGGAGCTGGAGGACAGAACACATTTGGAAATCCAGAGAGTCACTTCCAAGCCACCACCTCTGAGTCTACTGCAAATCTGTGGTTTATTCATCACATTCAGAAAACTCACTGGGCAGATAATTAATTGAGCAACTATGCATACACACAGACAATCATGAACATGCAGTGTTGTCACCACAGTACTGTATGTGTGTGTTTGTCAGTGAGCACTGTCATGTCACAATAATTAACACCATAATACACAGGACCAGCACAATAACAAGTATGACTATAGAGCCAACTAAAAATAGGGTATCATTAACATTATGATTTACAATTTTTTTCATTGCATTTTCTGCCCTTATATTCGAAGAAACACCATTTATTAAATCTCTATCTTTCCCAGGAGCTGTATTTCTGCTGAGTAAGGCTTTTCAGTTACACTCTGGAAGGAGCAAAGTCATTATTTTCATCACAATATCCATGAAAAGGACATCTGGGGGTACATCAGGTAATGGATAGCTGCAACTAACACTCAGGTGCAGGTTGCATGGCTTTTTATTACTGCACTGCATTAAAGTGACTCATCAATTTAAATGTGTGGGTATAAGCTTATCATATCAGCATATAGGGGTATTTGTTATACCTTCCTTATCTTAATTAATAGCAAACTGAGAGAAGAAAAACAAAGCTCTGATAAATGGAACAACATTTATTTCTTAACAGGCAAGAAAACACATCTAATATCTATGATGTATCCCTGTCTGTTTCAATAGGGCAATTGCTAAAAAAAATTAATCCTTGTGTTATGTTTAACCCTCATGTTTTAATATTTGCCTCAACCCTATGATATAGGTGACTGTGTGGCCTTCAACAAAGAATGTGAACATCAAGTTATTTTTACAGTACGGTACATTAGTGAGTCAGGTGATTACTACACAATACTGTAACTGTACACGTTGGCCTGTTCCCTGTCAATCATTAAAAGAGAGTTCAACTCTGAGACAAAGGCACACACACACACACACGCTTAAACATGACCATGGAGTATACGTTATTACACATGAAATCTGAACTTTTGTGCTGTGATGGTTGTGCGGTTGTGTGTGTGCGGACAGCAATATAACAATATGCCTCTTGTGTGACCTGCGTTACACAATCAAACACTATTCTTTATAAGGTACACACAGACATGACACAGCAGATATTGTGTTCCTTCTTGTGTGTGCAGCAACGCAGTATTCCTCACTGTTCTAAATGCAGACTGAACTCTGTGACAGTGTAGGTGACACAGACTTCTAAACGGTGAACACAGATTATGCAACCCCAACAGTTGTGGGGTTTGCAAGTCAATCAAAACAATTATTGACTTGAACTAGAGAGTACTGAGGGACCATTTCATATCAAGAACAAATAAATGCAACAATTGGTTAAGCAGCTCCTTTTCAAATAATATAAACACATTTTACATCGTAATAAAACATTAAAGACATATATAAATACAACACAATTGATGCACTATAATTTTCCCCACTCAGACCAAAAATTATACTTTATGCGACAATGACAGAAAACAGCAGCACTGCATTAGTTGAGCTTTTTCACAAGTATTTTTTGTGTCCTTCATCGTATTGTTTTTTTATCTTCAGTCCATGTTGTTCTTCCGTCACAATGGACATTAATTCTTTAAGTGTTCTGGCATGCAGTCAGTCTTCCTCAGGCCTGTGTGTTGTCCCCGCAGCAAAACAATGTCTCTCGATGCGTTTAAAGTCAACAATCAAAGAGAGGTCGGCATTGATTCATCGAAGAAGGCAATGTGTTCGTGTGTCACTAGCGGTGTATTCTCCCCAAGAACGGCCTGCGTGAAGTTGGGCCGTCTCCAGGCGTAAACCATACTGTTCAGGAAGCCTTGCAGGGACACACTGGCAGCCTGAAATAAACACAAACATCAATATAACATGCAACTCAGATATCAGATCATGTTTAAATATGTTTTTCATTTGAAATCTTATGAAACGTACCTGTATCATATAAATACCAAATAGGCTGCGTTGTTGAATGCTTGGTGTCCAGATCATCAGGGTAGACAGCAGAATGAGAACAAGTGCTACAGCAGGAAAGAACACAAAGCATTAATTTGATGTTGATTTGAAGCTGATGACGTCTATTTCATTGGCTCTGGTGTGCGTGTGCGCCTCTGTGTGTGTTTACCTGGGGCCCAGCAGAGTAAGATGACCAACACCATATTTCTTGATGTTGAAAACACTCTTTTGAATCTCCTTATTGAACGTCCATCTCCCTCCACAGGGAAAAGTCCTTGCAGCTCATGTCTCTCATACCATTTACCAACCTTATAGTATATAACCTGAAACAAAAAAAGGTTACAGTCTGCTTTCACCCAAGTATGTATGACTCAAGGTTTAAGATAACATTTTTAAAATAGACAATCATAAAAGTAGATCTATGGATTATTTAATAAAACTGTAAAAAAATAATAATCTTAAAATGATGTAATTTCTTATGACTTACAGAGGAAGATATCATCACTGGTATCACAACAAGGAAAAGAATAACTCTGATGGAAATGTCATGAGTTATCTCCTGGTAAAGAAAGAAAATGTTATGTTAGCACAAACACACTGCAAATGATATACCAGTCAAATATAGTCAAATATAATTTATAAAAATGGTGTAAATAAACACTGTAAATTCAAATTAATGTATACACAAAAGGCCTTAAAGTCTCATGAGACAGTTTTATACTCACGTCTTCAGAGCAGAACTTTCTCCCGACATGCAAGAACAATATACAACTGAGAAAAGAAACAATCAGACATTTCAGAATTGCATGAGAACGGATGTTTTCTCTCTCCTGTAACTCATTTTAAAGTAGTCACTTTAGAAGTAGCTATTAATAAAGCTTGTGTGCTCACCTAGTGCAGTATTTGCTGTCGTTACGGACAATTGTTGAGATCTCATTGAGTGGAATCAATGGGGCACTATTTTTGGGAGTGAGCACATATGCTAAGTATAATGCAATCGGGAACAACCTGTAATATAAGACAAACAAAAACACATAATTACATTTTGTATAACAGGGATAAGAAACACAAAGTCTGGAAAGTTAATTAAACGTATAATACGCTGTTGACCAACTCACCATACAATGGCATAAACAGGAATCGTGACTATTCTCCTTCTGCACTGAGTCTGTAAATCAGATGGATAGGGATAAATAATTAAATCAATTCTGTTTTTTTTTGTCCATATTCAAATCCACAAATGCAGTGGACGCCTCACCTGTCCTCCCTCATCCTCTGTGGGTCTTGCTCTCCACCCTTGTATTGCATTCTTTGACTCCCATGCATAAACCCCCATCAGCAGAAATGATATAAAATAAAACGTCTGGAAAGGATTGGACAAACCGACAAAGATACAAAAGTTAAATATAACAATAAGTTGCAAAATATACACCGATTAAAATATGACAAGTAGCAGTGTGAATCTTGAATCAGTTAAGCCGTCCCAATTTTGCTTGTAAATTAAATCCGATATCTATTTTTCAACTATTTAAAAAATAAAAAATGTTCCTACTAATAGTTTGTCTGAAGAGATTTTAATTATTTATTGGCCAACTTGGGTGTTTTGAGAACATAACAGAATTTCCAATTTTATACTTAGTTCACTTATTTATTTATTTTTGATCAACTCAGAAATGTTAACTCAGAGTTTATTTTACTTTATTTTACTTTATTTCACTTTTACTAATTTACTTTCTGGTCTATATTTTCAGAAAAAACCCACAATCTGAACTAAATGGAATTCAGTTACACAGTTTGAGTTCCTTCATCAAATACTTTTCCATGTTAAAATCTATAGTCTACCCTTAAATGTTATTACCTTAAAATACATTAAAATGTGTGTATTCAGTAAATATGTAAGATTTAAGTTGATGCGATTTACATAAAGAGTTTCGGGAACACCTATTGTAAAGTCTTAAAAACAATTAAAATAGCATTGGGCTTCATCTTTCTATCTCAGAAATCAGTGCACAGAGGCATTTGCATTACTAAACTTGTCACGGCAAAAGTGCTGACCACTTTGCAACACCAGGAACAATCCTCAGGGAACTCCTGCAGTGATTTGATTAGATAATGAGATAATGATCTGATCCTCAACCCGCTGGGAAGTACCAACATTTAGTCAGGTTTTTACCCTCAACTTCCCCACCTTGTTTTCGAAGGTTACAATGCAAATTTTAACCCCTTCACCCACCAGGAAAGCAATATTTATTTGAAGAGGCGAGAGGCTTTAACCAAGTGAAAGTAATTGTTCCTCACCAGTGACATCGGCAAGCCATAATGGCAGATGACTTCATTGTTGTTTGGCCTCACTTTGTTCAGGACACTGGTGGACAAGAGGATCAGAGCAGCCAGGAGGTCTGCTAGGGCAAGCTGTACCAGAAGGTGCACCTGCAAACAATACAAAAATAAAACAACAGTATAAAAAAGAAACAACAACAAACTATCAAAAGTATAAAAACATATGTATATTTGTATTTACTGAATCACCTGTTTCTTTAGATTCCTCCATCTCACTATGGAAACCAGCAGGACAGAAAAACTCCCAATCACACTGCAAATAATAAGAAATATTCAATGTGGCAAAATGATATTGGCACAACATTACTTTTAGTATATTTCTTATAAGGCTTATAATGATTGATGAACATAAAGTTGAAACTCATGGTATTTGGCACAAAACCAACACTAAACCGAAGCCAAGAAGTTTTTATTGCAAAAGTCGGTGTGAATGACATATCTCAGACGCATGTGACACCTGCATATAAAATGACATAAACCTCCTGGCTTAATACTAACTAACCAATGTGATTTGTTACCCGCTTGCCCTCCGTCTTATTGTTTTGCTTTCTTTATCAAAAGCAAAAGAAAGAAATCAAGAGATAATAAAGTAATACACAGCTCACAAGGCTGATGGAGTACAGTGATGGACGTTTTTTAAAAGAATAAGAAGCTACAATTGACCTGTGAGCTTTAAGTCTGTTCTGACTATTACATTTACATGGTGGCAGTATCGTTAATACAACAGTAACGTAGGGTAAGAACACAGGAGGAATTCAAAAAGAAAACATATGCTCCCGCTTCAGCTAACATGTTGCCTTGCTGGTTTGGCAAACCTCTCCACAATGAGAAGAATGGAAGTTTAAGATTATGATTCTGCTGATAGAGAACGCTTACTGTACAATGTTGAAATATGTGAAGCATATTACCTGAGAGTGAGTAACCCTATGTACTCTTTAGTGAGAAAATCAATCTGAAAAACAGAATTCAAACATTACATCAGAAATGTCCTTATTATTTCTCTCCTAAAAGCTTCTATTAAAATATGCTCTTTTAATGTTCTATTTATTCATGAACTGAACAGTGTTAATGCCTACCTGCTCTGCACTCAGTAAACCATGGTCCTCCATGGTAAATATCAAGTTATCAGTCTATTCAAAACTCACACTCTGTTCCTGCACAGGTACACCCTTCTCCATACCTGGCCTTTGTCGATATATGTATTTGGATCCAAGCACACATCTATAAAAGTATGCACCTTGTCACATGCTGCTGCTTTGACTCCACCTGTTTTCAGAATAGTTAGTGCCACTCTTTAGAGACATGGGACTTCCCAGGTACAATTGGAATATTCCCTGTCTTACCTCCAGTCTCTCAAGAAATTAAAACACTTACAGGAAACAGAAATACCGTGAAACTGAATTTCCAACCATTTTCCAAGGACTTTTACCTTCTTTTTCCTACCAAAATAAAATGCCCATGCTTGTGTTTTCCCGTACATGTATATTATCTATTCTCATAAGAATGTCTCTGTAATTAATTACATTGATACACAACTGCTGTATACACACTAACACACACAGGGCTTTGAAGCACAGTGACTCTGAACTAGGGCTGCTCGATTATGGCAAAAATCATAATCTCGATTATTTGGGTCAATAATTGATATCACGATTATTAAAAACGATTATCCATTTACTTTGAAAACATCCATTTATTGCAAAAAGAATTTGAACAGTTTGTTTTTAATAGTTGATCACCCTGAACTGTAAGTATAATTCAACTGAAAAACCAATAAAAAAAAAAATTGATAATAATAATCGTTTTATTTCGATTATGTTGTTTTCATAATCGTTGCAAGCCAAAATCGTAATTGCGATTAAAATACGATTAATTGAGCAGCCCTAATCTGAACTCAGTACTCAAGATACCGTGTATTATACTTTATACAGTATGGTAGTATTATATCATTATACATCACTATTACTTGTAGACTTTTTGCACTACTTTTTATTTTGTATTTTGTATTTTATTATATATGTTGGATTGTTGGAGGAGCTCAGGTCATAAGATTGTCATTGCCATTTCTACACTGTAGCTTTGTGTATGTGACAATAACACCTTTGAATCTTGAATCTTGAAAGAACGGTAAAGTCTGTGTTACAGAGCTATCTAGTGGTAGGAATCGGCCTTGCATTTTGGCCTGCTACAAACCTTTAAAAAGCTAACTTTTTTTCAGTGTTTAGGACGGACAAAACTATTGATGATGGCGCAGGGTATACTGTACAAATGGGGCAGGGTATATTGTACGAATGGGGCAACTTAAATGTGTTCGGAATAAACAAATAATGCATTGAAAAGTCATTGTCCACAGATGTTGACGTATGTCGATAAAGTTTATTCAAAGTGATGACGTCGTGGATTCCACGTTGGCCCGGACGTGGCAGTCGGCAGACCTCAGAGGAGCTGTACCCGGATCAGTGTGAAACGACCACACGTCGCTGCTGCCTGGCTAATATCAGTTCTTCATTAATTCTAACAGCATCAGCCAGCCATGGGGCTCACTATCTCTTCACTCTTCGACCGTTTCTTTGGCAAAAAACAAATGAGGATTTTGATGGGTGAGTGAAAGCTACGTTAGTGAGGGGGTTCGGTTTTTAGCTTTAGCTTTAGATAAAGTAGCTAACGTTAGCTAGTCGTTGATGAGCTTTCAATAGCATTGCAGTTATCAAACTTTTAAAGTATAACATTGGGACAGAAGCGGCATACAAATACAACTTAGAACGATGTAATGATTGTGACTGTGGAAACTAAAGGATACAATAATAATATAAAGTGTTCAGTGAGCTTCACGTCACGTTAGCTAGTTTTAGGGTTTGGCAGTGAAGACTGTCAACGACAACTATCCAGAACATTTCTTAATTACCAGTTAAGCCCCGTGCCCCCGGTACAAAGTAAAATCTTTGACACTGTAAGATATTTGAATGAAGGCTTTGGAGTTAACTTTTAACGATTAATTACTTCCAAACAGTATTTTAACTTTGTATTCATTCGGGAGATAATGAACGGTTGTCAGTGACATTATTATAAACATAACATGTTGGCTGATATGAGTTCACCTAACTTGAATTTAGACGGTAACCTGTTCTGTACTTTGTAGTTTGTACTTTGTTTAACTTGTTTGGTGACGCTAACTAACTCCTTGTGACGACTGTTTTGCGTCATGTTTCAGTCCCGTATCCGGATTGTTGGGCAATGATAGTTTTTAAAGTTAAATAAAGACCAAGATAGTTTTTAATAACAGTGGGCATTCCTTCCACTAGAAGTGATTCATGAAAATGGCTCAGTACACATGCATTGTGTGTGCAGTCATATGTAAGCCCTCTGCTGTCTAATGATTAGACTTATAGGAAACGCCTGTTATGCAATTTACAGCATCCATATCTATTAACTCCTAATCTCTCCTGATAAAAATGTTTACCTTTTGTTCACATTTTCTCCTGTAGTTGGCCTTGATGCTGCCGGAAAAACGACTATCTTGTACAAATTGAAGCTTGGGGAAATTGTGACCACCATTCCAACCATTGGTAAGAGACACTCCAACAGTTACTATTACTTTTGACAAATTAAACTTTGTATTCAGTGTTATTAAATATGCCCCTTATCTTTCCCCCGGAAAGGTTTCAATGTGGAGACAGTAGAATATAAGAATATCAGCTTCACCGTGTGGGATGTGGGCGGCCAGGACAAGATCAGACCCCTCTGGAGACATTACTTCCAAAACACACAGGTATGACAGATGTGACTGCGCCGATGCTGACCGCCCATGTTTAATATAATAACTGTAGTGTCGAGGAGGAGCAGCAGTATTACGCAACTGTAAAATGCTTCTTCTCTGATCACCAAGTAAAGATATTTGATTACATTACTGATCAACCAGAACTCATCAAAGTATGATGCTGCAGCTTCATCAAGTAGACACATATTTCTAAAGGGGCCACAGATTCCACTTAATGCCATTTGTACTTGTGTATTAATTTGTGTACACACAAACACACACACACATACACACACACACACATACACACACACACACACACACATACACACACACACACACATACACACACACACACACACACACTTGTGAACCAAGATAAGATGGACCTTTATTAATCCTGTGGGGAAATTCAGTAGTTTAACAGCAACAGGGTAAGGATGAAAAACAGGACAGTCCAGATTCACACAGATTAATACAATTCAAATCAAAGATACAAATTAAAAATGATAAAATAAGAAATGAATTAAAATGAACATATATACATATTAGGTCATATATACATATTAGATATATTTACACGTGTGTGTGAAAACGGTGTGTATTTTATGTCCAGTAATTGTGTCACAAAGCTTTATGTTCTTGTTTTCCTCTGGCTACATTGGGGCTGTTTGTAAAAGTAAATACATTTCAAACTATATTAATATTAATGCTCTGAATGTTGTATGGAGAACCTTTCTTACTGTGATTGTTTAACCCAGATCATTCCTTCATTAGCCAAACTATTAAATGTTTTTTTTGGTAACAAATCTCCAAACTGTACTCCTCTCCCAATTACTGTTGTAGTTGTTCTTGGATTATATTCAATAATTAGCCATTTCTACACATCTGATAATGGTAAACTGTACATAACTACACTACAAAACAACATTTTAGTCTTTATAAATGAATTTACTCACTAAAAGTTATTTTCAGAATAAATTGATTGTCAAGTCTATAAAATGTATTTTAAAAAAAAATGGAAGAATATCAGCATAACAGTTTTCTATATTCAAAAGTGACGTCTTCGAATGTCTATAGCCAAAGATATACAGCTCACTATCACCGAAGATCAACTAACCTCGTTGATTTCTTTTTCTGACCTAGGGCCTCATCTTCGTGGTAGACAGCAATGACAGAGAAAGAGTGACAGAGTCTTCAGAGGAGCTTCAGAAGATGGTTGGTATTAAATATGTTCAGCATGACATGGACTGAATATTGTTCTCTGTGCAGGGATGAATTACAGAGAGCTTCGTCATTTGGCATTATTGTTGTGACATGCAGAGTTGTTGTCTCATGTTGTGACGTAGGTAAATCAAAGTGAATATAACAGTGTCAACCCTACATTGGATGACAAGCCTTTAAACCAAAAACAACATGATCTGTTCATGAAGATATTGCGTGGTTAACCCATGAATTTCGAAATCATTGTGTAACCTTGTCGACTTCTACTGAGCACATCAACAATACAAGTGCCAGATTGCCTTAATTCTCACTTGATAAACGCAGTACACCGAGTCAGTGTAACAAAAAATGACTGAAGTAAACACTCCATGAAATGTCCCTTCAGTAGGTTATAATGTTTGCATTTTATTCATTGTAATCAAGTTTTTATTTTTACCCTGGATTTTTGTCGATGCCTAAAACTATCAAATGTTTAAAACAATTTAGAACCGACTCTTTTTCCTTCTAGCATTTTGAGTGTTTGAATGTATTGACCACCTGCAAAATAGGTCTGCAGGGCTTGAACCAGGGACATTGTAAAGCTATAGTCAGCTTCTCAGATCCCTAATATTAGAGCTGATGTACTAATCTATCGTCTGCCCCTCTAGTTGACGGAGGACGAGTTGAAAGACGCCGTTTTGCTGGTGTTTGCTAACAAACAGGACCTTCCCAATGCCTTACCAGTCAGCGAACTTACAGAAAAACTCGGCCTACAAGCCCTCCGCAACAAAAATGTAAGTAAACATGCTCCGTATACACCGGAGTGTAATTTGTAATCATGTGCAGAGTTCCATTTATATTTCTTCCATATGTAACTCACGTCATATCCTCTTTGTCCCCACAGTGGCACATCCAGTCAACCTGCGCCACCCAGGGCAGCGGGCTGTACGAAGGACTCAACTGGCTGTCCGAGGCCTTGACCAAGAACTAAAGAAGGATCAGCTGGAGAGATGAGAGAGAAATACTGAACCCAACAGGACGGGAGGGAAGGCACAGACATTAAATCCAGAAACATTTGGCCTTCCAGCACCAATGTTCACAAAAAGGACAAGGCTGGAGGACAACATGTAATCATCTTTGGAACATTTTTAATTACTTTTTTTCCTTCTTTTATTATCAATGATATTACCATATTATCTTTTGACATAGTTTCTATTTTTCTCCTATCGTTCCTAAGCTCTTTAAACGGCGATATGTTGTACTGACACATTCAGTTGCATGATGAGCAAATGGCCTGTTAGGGAAATGTCATGGAAACAATGCAAAGAATAATGGGAGGTGTTTTCCACTCTAAACCCTGGCTCCTGTCTAGGCAGCATTTGCATTAATTGACCACTTTTATAATTTTTGGACTTTCTTACAGCCATTGTGGAGCCTAGGTTGGGGGTATGATAATATACCTAGAGCTTCGAGAAGGACAACTTGTCGGCTGCCTCAGGCTGTTCCTCTCTGCATCCCCTCGTGGATATTTGACTCCCTTTGCGCTGCACTGCTATGTCTCATGCCAACTCATTTCTTTGAGGGCCTTTAGCTCGCAGAATGAGAAGGATGACGATTGCAGCAATTAGTTGGTAGTGTGAAACCACGTGGCCTCCGAGTAAATGCATCCAAAAAGGAACTTTGTGCCTTCTGGTCCTTCGAAATCACAAAATCTGAGTAATCCTTTCCTTATCTCATTCTGAGGTCATGCTCCCTCACACGATGCTTTAGTGACTTCTGCTTTTGAAAGACAAATAATGGGTTAAGACATTTCCTTTTGTTCTGCAATGTGTACTGAGGTTCAGTAAAACCCCCTTTCTGAGTGTAGATAGCTTCTTTACAACTTGTCTCCACGATGAACCAGGTTTTCTTCCTGTTTGAACATTTGTGGATCTGCACTCCTTTTCCTCCTTTTTCTGATGGCTACCATGAAGAAGGTTTTGATTAAATGTCAGTTCTTCAATTTACTTTAACGGAAAATCTCTTTTACCCTAAAACGAGGAAGGAAGCGTCTTTTCAGTTTTCACACGACAATGTTGTGTGACACAGTAAAGTAGCATGTTTTTTGTTGTTTGAGTTTGTTGTACTTTCTGAAGGTTAATACTGTATTATAATCTTAATTTTTCTACCCCTCTTGAAATACAAATACACAGCTGGCCTTTAGTTTGTTTTTGTGTATACATTCCAACCTATGCTTGCAGATCCTGGAGCTGCCACTTAAAATTAGCAAAATAATATTTTACAAAAAAGCTCTGAATAAAGACAATGTTTAAAAAAGAGTATGCGTTTTGGAATCCACTCATTGTTGATGACGGCAGTTGTCACTTTTCTCTGGACTTTAAGTTGTTACTCATTAAAAGCATCGTGACATTTTTCACATTTTTACATTTTCAAATGTAGTTTCATAATTGCTCAAAAATTCCAGTTGTCTTTTATCAGGAAATGAGCATTTCAAGAGGAAGTGCTGTTTACTTCTGAGACTAAAAAACGCTCTTCATACAGAAAACAGACAATATGATTATAAAAAAACTGTACAATACTCCAAACTAAGGTGAGACGCATTCAGGGTCAGTGGGGTGGAGCAGTTTGAGAATCCTGAACCCTTTTGTATTTTTCTCCATGAGACTGTTGTGGTTTTATCAAAACCACTAAACTTCCTCAAATGTGCAGCTTTGTGGTAATATTCATTTGTTTAAGGTAATCTGCACCACGAAAAGCACTGCTTCTTTATGTGGAAAATAGCCCTTAGCAGGTTAGCTAAGGTATTACTTGCTCAGTAATTTAAAGGATATGGATGTGAATAAGCTTTACTGGAAACCAACAATTGGACGGTTGAAAGCAATATCCCTGAAACGCCCATCAATGCTATTCAGAGGCAGCAAGCCAACATTACCCAACATGCAGCTGTCCATTGTTCTGACTTCTAATGACATTAAATGATTAAGAATGGCAGGGACAAACCACCATGTTAATCTACATGTGGTGGTGTTTGCTGCATGTTAAAGTCAGGAAATGATTGCTGGCTTTTTGTGAAAGTGGACAGTTAGTTTCCAAAAACACCCAACTGGCTCTCATAAAGTAACATAACTAAATATTGACATTATAGTACAGCGGATAAGCTCTCATATTATAACAATTGTGCATTTTATGAGAAAAGCATGACATTTCTAACATAGTTAGTGCATACCATAAGGTTTATTTTCAGATGTGGAGGGAAGTCAGACTTGACCTGTGAGGACCGTGAGAGGTCAAATCCAAGATGGCCGCCAGTCAAGAAAATGCATTTAGGTGAAGATAAAGGTAGAAATTGACCAAAAATAAGCTGTCAAACAGTTGAAATTTGGTGTGTGTGTGTGGCAGATGGCGCAGTTATGTATTGTATTTAATTTTTGTTGAAGTATTTCACTAAAAAGCAACCTTAGCAAAACAGGAAATTATGTCAAATTCATATTTTAAGAATTAGCAAGCACCTATCTATTTTCAAACGTTTTATTTAGCTAATGTTGCAATTGTTGCAAAATCGCTACTGTATTTTTTTAATGCGAAATATATATGGATGGATACAACCCTATCCAAATTAAGTTTATTATCAGAGATATTTAAGTTAATTGATTTTCTACATAAAAGGAAGGCTCCTTGCACATTTGCTTGAGCTTGAATTTAGTTCACCTTATAGTATAGTCCCTGTTCATCCCTTTATAACCATTTATTGCCACCACGACAACGAAATGGTGTGCATAATATATATTTTAAAAGTAATAATTCCAATATTATGTCCTGCTCGGATAAAACTTGTTATATCCTTAGAGTCATTTAAAATGAGTTTTTTTCTCCATACCATGGAGTCTAAATGGGTAAACCTTTGTATTTGTAATTGTACAGCCATGCTAGGACAAACAAATCCCCTTTTCCCATGTTCTCTCTGTACTCTCTGTCACACACACAACATACATAACCCTTTCTTTGCATGACCTCTTAGTGTCCATGTGAGCCACTAAAGAACAGAAAAAAAGCTGCGCTACCTTGGGCGTTTTATAGGTGGACAGGCAGGGAATCGAACCCCAACCCTCTATAAGTGGAAAGGGACAGCGGTGAACCTTGTAGTTGAGTGCAGCCCTTTGTAACAGCGAGGGTTAAGAGAGCTGTTTGTGCTCTACATGGAACTGTTTTCCATCTCCCTCTTTGGTTTACATTCTTTCAGCAGTTTGTCCCTCTCTAAACCTTTCTGTTCCCCATTCTTCTTTCTCCAATAAGAGGTGCATCATTATTTTTCTATTAAATATGACATTGGGGAATAAAACGCTGTTGTTGTTTTGTTGATGGTTCCATCCATTTATACATAGTATATATCAGTGGTTCTCAACTGGTGGGTCGCGACCCAAAAGTGGGTCCCGGACCCGTTTCGAGTGGGTCGCGGATGTGTGAGTGAAGAAAAAAAAGTTGAAAAAAAAAAATTGGAATTTTTTTTTTTTTCTTTTTTGGGGAAAAACTCAAACTTTTATTTTGAAGGCCCGATTTTCTTCTCAGAGTGTACCAGAATGCGTAGTTTATGTTAGTATTTCTAAAAATCTCCTGGGGGAGAATCCCCCCAGACCCCCCTGCTGGGGTTGGGTTTCAGCATGTGTGCCTTTTTATATAGTTCAGCTTTGATTCCATCATCTCATTAAACCTTTTTTAAAAGCATACTTTAGTTCTGTGAAGGGATATAAGGGATATATGCACTGTACTTCACTTTTATTAATATTGTATGCTCAAAAGCGCATATATATATATTACAGCACGATTTTTTTGTTGAATAGATTTGAGTGCTTCAAAATGTTGGGTCGCGATGTATTGACCAAGTAAAAAGTGGGTCCCGAGGCCTGACCAGTTGAGAACCACTGGTATATATAGTTCAAGCACTTAGACTTAGAGAGTTGGGCGGGGAACAAATATTATGCTCGTCACAATCATGTAAGTATGTATTTGAAGACAAAAAAAATGTTTTCTTCAGCATGCAGACTGTGCCAAGTAAAGCCATATTCCTCCAGTCTCTGTATTAATGCTAGCGCTGGGTGACCATAAATCCACTGGAATATACTATACCACATCACACACACACACACACACACACACACACACACACACACACACACACACACACACACACACACACACACACACACACACACACACACACACACATTTTGCAAATTTCAACTGATTGACAGCTTATTTTTGGTCAATTTCTACCTTGATCTTCACCTAAATTCATTTTCTTGAATTCTGGTGATCTCAAAAGTATCACCAAATGATTGGGCATCCCTAATTTAGTTGGATATGACACCTTAAATGTTTTTCTACAATGTTTGGTTCCAAAATTAAGCGTGTTTGAACATTTGACCCGAGAGACTGGCGGCCATCTTGGATTTGACCTCTCACGGTCCTCACAGGTCAAATCTGACTTCCCTCCACATCTGAAAATAAACCTTATGGTATGCACTAACTATGTTAGAAATGTCATGCTTTTCTCATAAAAGGCACAATTGTTGTGCTTATCCGCTGTACTATTAAGGTTGTAAGGTGCCCTAAAGAAACAAACTGAGGTAACGCTGCAGTCCTCACACAGGGCAGCAGGAGAGGAGAGGGAGATGTATCTTCATCATAATCATGCTGGTCAATTTCTGCACAGCAGGGGGCGACGTGTCCCACCATCAGACATGGCAAAAACAATAAGCTTATATCTGCCAGTTGTCTGACAAAACCTTAAAATGAAGACCATAGTGTAAAACTCATTTAACGTATTTTAGGAAGTCAGGTTTTCTACGACTCTCAACTCATCAATGTTTAGATAGTTGCTAGCTAGTTAAGGGAAACAGCACTGGTGTGTTTTGACCACATCATCTTTTCTTTTGTTATTATTTCTATATTACAATTTAGAGTAAACGAGACTCCATTGGTGATTCAATTATCATTATTATTAATAGATCTGAAACTTTATCGGGTGTCAGGTTATAAGGACCTTCCTACATTGTTCATGGGTTAAGGTATAAGCTTTATATAATTGGCTTGCTATAATATTTGAATGTGTGTTCTAATGTATTTATGACAGCTAATCAGGATTACTGGAGCTGTGGAAACACTGCACAGTGTGTCCTGCTGCATGAGGCACCAATTCCCTGTTCTTTTAAACTCGGAAACTTTACATAAGATGTACAGCTTCACTGCCCAATAAGGTAAGGTAAGGTAAGATTTAAACATGGTTTATTGTATTATATTTATAATAGTTTACAGCTATTTTATTTATTCTTTGCATTCTTTATATTTTCTAATGTCCTTTCCAGATCTATAGGCTTTTCTTTTTTTAAACAAACTTACATTTAGTATGAAGACTCATTCACAATATGCTAAATGACTGCAAAAAACTATACCAGAAAAAAAAACATGTGCATGACCACATACATGTCCGTTCAAAATCTGTGTCTGAATCAGAATCAGAATACCTTTATTAGTTCCACAGAGCCAAAGACAGCTTAATGTTACCTAAGTACAGTAGCATGCATATACATGGCTCACATTGATGTTGGGGGTGTCTTCTTCTGCAGGATAATGCCGACCTTGATACCAGTACCACAGCCCTCCTTATCCCAGGCCAGGGAGAATCTGGTGAATGCTTTCCCCCCCAGGCTCCTCTGTCTGCTGGCCTGCGGAGGAATAGGTTGCCGCTATGAAGGACCAGAGTGTTGGAAATTAAATCAACAGGTCATTCGAGGCATCTTCTCCTCCTGGTGAGAGGGTGTGATTGAATCTCATATATGTGGCTGTATTTGCTGTATCAAAAACAATAAGTTTACAGAATTGTTTAACGTCTTGCTATTGCAGGGTGACAGATGACATCATAGCCATGGCACGGCCATCTAGTCATCTAATTAAGAAGTACAAAATCATAGAACAATTTCAAAGGTAATCGGTTTTGATTGTTATCTCTGTAATGTTTGTGTGGTGTGCATGATACATGAGAAGCAGGTGTGACAACGTAATATATACAACCTCCTAATTACATTTTTGTATTTTTGGAATCATTAATCTGTTACTTTTTGTGTGATAAAGACATCTGACATCATTGCTTTTTGGTTACAATGAGTAATACCTTCAATTTAGGACATATTAGATCTTTATTGTCACAAGAAATATTGCCTTTAAGACACAGTCACAGCACTAGTGTGTCCACCGTCTTCTTCTTAATTTATGACTTTGTTCCAGGTTGAACATCAGATCAATCATCAACATGCAGCTCCCTGGAGAACACGCTCACTGTGGACCTCCCATAGAGCCTGACAGCGGTTTCACGTACTCCCCACAGACCTTCATGGACAATGACAGTGAGATTGTGATACATTTGATTCAAAAACAGTTTGCCCTCTTTATATCTGAACAAATTGGGACATCTAGATAAACATTCAAGGTTAATAAATATGATAAGACACAGTTATAGTTTGAGCTTATTCTGAGTTGCAGTGTTTGTGTGTTCCTTCGTGATACAATGGCTTACAGGTAATCCCAATGAATGTCAACTATGATCCTAAATGCAATCATATGTGCACATATTTGTATGTTTGCAGTTTACTTTTACAACTTTGGGATGCAAGACTTCAATGCGTCCTCCCTTGTTGGTTTAATTGACGGGGTGAAGGTTCTGGCCTTTGCACTGAGGGAAGGAAGAGTGGCCGTGCACTGCCATGCAGGCCTGGGCAGATCAGGTATGTATAAACAAACACACTGTATCTAGTATGTGAACACATGTGAATATTCAGTGTGTGTTCTTGCTGCTCAACAGGCGTCCTGATAGCCTGCTACTTGATTTACACCCTGCGCATCAGCCCAAGTGAGGCCGTTCATTATGTGCGGATCAAACGGCCACACTCCATCCAAACTCGGGCCCAGCTGAACCAGGTGTTTGACTTTGCTCGCCTGCTTGGCTCACAGCTGGTTCAATACCCAGACCCTCGCCTGCGGCACGGAGACCCTTTCAGCCTGCAGCTGCACCTGAACAGACAGGCCATACTGCTGCATGGCCAGGAGGCACGCACCCTCAAACAAACACCAAAGGTCTGGACCTTACATTATTTATTTGCCATTAACACAAATCACTGCACATTAGTTTAACTGCAGTTTAACTCTTCCTCATTCTTTTTACTTGAAATAGGTGGTGTACCTCCTGTGTGTGTATCTCTCCTGCTTAGCCCTGGGTCTCCCTGCCCCTCCAGAGATCCAGGCTGAGCTGGACAAGAGGTCAGCACTGAGGACCCTGAGCAGGACCGTGAGGGAGACCCTGGTGTCGAAACAGTGCTTGCCCTTACTGAGAGAGTGTCACCAGGGGCCAAGAGTGAGTTTAGGATCGGTGTCCTTCTGGGACGAGCCTCTGGGCTTTTTGACGAGGAAGAGAGAGGTGCTGCAAGACAAACGCAGCTACAGTGACTCTGACCTCAGCAAGATCGCAGTAAATCAGGTCCAATTTTACTTTGTTTGTCCACAATTACATTCTTCTTTTGTAAATCAAACTTAGGCTGTTCTCACTCTGTTTGATTCTCTTCTGAAGGATCTGGAGTTGAGTCCATACTGCAACTCAGAAGCTGGAAATGAAAGACAGGTTTGTGTAAAGGATCGGACACAACCTGATCTGAGACCAGCTAGTCCGATCCTTGCCAGCATCAAACAAGGCCTCCAGCCAACCAAAATGGAATCTCAAGCACTCAACATGCCAGTATCTAGCATGACATCAAGCAATGACTGTGCTCTGAGGTCAAAGTGCTCTAGAAAGGCACTTCCCAAATACAGCTCCAACATTGAGGTAACTGAGATTATTATTACAATCAAATTAAAATAATGGAAACTCTGATGTGAATGTGTCCAATATTTTGTTTGTATTTCACATAAAGTTAAGCAGAAATCTACATAATCCAGGCCCAGCCTCAGTTGCTGTTGCTAAGGCATTGGCAGATCATTGTCCACCGGAAGAAAACATCCTGCAAAGATCAGCTCTGCTGCAGGTGAGAAACACTGGTTCAAAATCACCACATCTCACTTTCATTTTGAGCTCTGATGAATACTTTCACCCACTTTTTCAACAGGAGGAACTGAACAGTAGTGACTGTGGCTGGGCTCTGCTGCTCACTGAGTCAGATCCTCAGGTTCTCAGCTGTCTGCTGTGGACCTGGCTGGAGAGGTTAAAGGTCAGTGGCAGCAAACAAGAGGTCATGATTACAGTATTCAAAGGTTTTATTGTCATATGCACATAAGCTACAGTGTAGAAATGGCAATGGAATTCTTATGACCCGAGCTCCTCCAACAATGCAACATATATAATAAAATACAAAAATACAAATAAAATACAAAAATAGTGCAAGAAGTCCATATACATGTGAATAGATGATACAAGAACAGAAGGTGAAATTAAATATTGTACATTAAAACGCAATTAAATACGGTTTATTGCGGTGATATTACATGATTACATTTGATGTAAATAATACACATTTTGAAAATAAATGTTTCCATCTTTAGGTAAAGATTTGTCTCTCAGTCTCATATCTGTTTGTTTGAATGTCACCCAGGAGCCTGTTCTGAGTGCAGAGGATGTAGACAGGTTGCGTTGTGGTGCCAACAAACGGAAACCTCTCAGTGTGCTCAAGAAGGTAAAGAAACACATGTATGATAAGTCAGCTTTGACTCATGAGTATTTTTCTTAAGAAACGTTTATATTCTTAACCTAGTTGGCATATATTTAAATAAGTTATTTGAAATGTCCCTGCAGCCACAGAGAGACACCATCTCCTGCCTCCTGAGCTGTGTGAGCACCGTGACCAGCCTGTGTCCACACAGAGAGGATGCAGTGCTGCAACGACTGGTGCAGGCACTTACAAGGGTAAGGGTACATGTGGAGTCACAGTACGCTAAATGTGTGCATTTCTATTAAAAACGTTTTAATATCAGGGTGTATATTAGTTCAATAATAAGCCTTTTTTAAATCAACAGTTCCCCCATGAGGAAACTTCAAGCCTGGCAACGTTAATGAAGGTCCTGAAGGCGAGTTTAAGAGAAACCTCCCACAGCTACCTCTAAAGAGATAGCAACACCAATGTTCCACTTTGAAGAGCAGAGTCCTTATTATTATAAAAGTTGTAGGTGTACTCATACTTTTACACACTTATACCATTCTCAGTTGGATCAATGACTGAAAATATGAAAATTGCTAGTGAAAAACAGAAGTCTTAGGTCATAGTCATAGAAGTATTGAATGCATTTACAAGTAAAATCATTCACTTTTAAGAAGAGCAGATGCAAGGTAAATGCTTTTAGTGTCATTTTGATATAAAATGATTTTTTTACGGCAAGTGGGGTTTTCCTTGTATTTTTCTGTATACGGCGCACAATCAAAAGGGTTTGCCCCCCCCCCCTGACTTAACCCATTGGCCAGTGCTGCATATTGTTATGTAACAATGGCTAACATTTAAATAAATCCCTTACATCAGAATTCAATGAGTACACTGATACAATTTACACTTTACATTAGGCTAAATAATTTGTTCATGTATACTTTAAATAGTGTAAAAGTTACGGTAATGTAGTACTAGCAGATTAAATCCAAACCGTGTGTCCACAGTCTGATCTGTGGCCTATTCACCCTTCCAAGCCTAATAAATAATTGACACCGTCTGCATACTGTGTTTTCTGTAATAACATATTGGGCATTCCTTTGAACTGCAGTTGACACTCACATTCATATTAAATGTGTCAAAGTGTCGTCTCCATGGCAATGTTGTCATAGCACTAAACAATCAGTGTTTGGGTTCAGTGCACATGCTGAGTTCCGTTCATAACATAATACCCATAACCTCACAGAGAGAGAGAGACTCACAGCAGGAGCAAGATATGAGGTAAAGTGCTTTTTCTATTTGTTTTAGTGAGTAACTGAACTAAACTGAGCGCATGTTGATGGTTTGTATGCACTTTGTAGACTTCTTGTGGTTTTGTTACAGGATACTCTGGGTGGTTTTGGTTAAGCATTGTTTAACTTTACCCACAAAGGACCAACAGTAGTCCTCTATTCAAGCATATTACCTTGTATTTGAACCCAAATAAGTATTACATGAAATTGGTCACATTGAATGCTTTATTCACAATATTACCATGTGGACCATTTCTCTTTTTGTGTACATTGTTATTATAATTAAGATGTGTACAAAAGTCAACTAAAATCCATTACACAACATAATTTAAAAACAATCACTGTTAGACTGATCTGACTATTACTAGATATCGATTTGTTTTGTTATCTTTTAGGTGCTAAAGGGGAGTGTTTCTTATATGTGTGACTATATCTAAAAACCATGTTGATGATTTATTTTTATAGTTTTACAAAAACTTTCTATAACTTTCTAGCACTCTAAATCCAAATGAACACAGGTTGATGTTTATTATTATTATTCAAAATCTATCACTGCCATTGACAGTCAACACTGCTGCCCCTGGTACTATCACTGAGCAGCCGTTTAGAAGGATGCAGAATATTTGAATAATGCACTTCTATCACTGCATCCATGCTTTAACAGCACCTACATAATATATCTAAAAGCAATAACTCACAGCTTTCCCATAATACCCTCTATGTAGTTATATACTGTAGCACCAGACAGACCTGTAAGCGATTCCATTGAGAGATATATTTGTAATTTAGAAGATATGTGTTGAAACTTGAAACACTTTGAGAGGGCAAGTGTGCCGAAAAGCATTAGTGTTATTTTTACAACAGACTGGCCAATATTCATTATTGGCTCTCTTCATGCCTGTAATGATATTTTCTAAGCCACAATCGACTCATGCATGACAGATATTTTGGTGGTTTTTCCCTGTTCAAAAGCAATGGTAAGTGTAGGGACACATTGTTCTTTTTGAACAACTAAAAGCACATTTTAATTATGCTTTTGGTTATGATACACCTCTCTCTCAGGGAAACGTCGAGTGGTGAAGCTCTGGTTGGTACCTGGAGGCCTCACAAACCAAGAGGGCCCATAGCTGCCCTCTACGGTAGTCCAGGTCCCAAGTATGCACTCCCTGGACTCACAGGTACAACCACCATTTTGTTTAAGCATTAACCCCCAAACACCATTATTATGATTAATATTATTATTACTCACATTGTTGTCCTTGTTTCCTTTATAAAGGTGTTTCGAAACATGACCCTACAAAGAAAACAGCACCGCAGTTTAGCTTTGGATCACGTCATGAGACCAAGACCGAGATCACCCCTGGACCGAGCTACCTCATCCCCTCCAACATCACCAGAGTAGGCCGAGACGGCCCTCCTGCTTATTCTCTCTACAGCCGTCCAAAGGATCCAAAATTGTTCCAGGCCCCTGGACCAGGTCAGCAAACCCCCTTGCACATTTGCAAAAAAAAGAAACAAGGCTGATATCAAATATCCGACTACTCACTCAAAATTGAAAATATGCTGTTCTTGTCATGATGCACACATTAATTTGTGATAAAAACTTTCTGTGGTTTTCAGGCAAATACTCCACAGAACATGCAGGAAAGTCAGTCTTCCACTCTGCTCCTGCCTATTCTCTGTCAGGAAGGGCCAAAGAAATCAGCAATATTCAAACACCAGGTATGTATTTGGTGTCAACTTCATTTAAAGGTGGGGTAGGTAAGTTTGAGAAACCGGCTCGAGATACACTTTTTGTTATATTCCATGGAATGCTCTTAACATCCCGATAGCAATGAATATCTTAAGTGCTTTGACAAAAAATCCATAAAAAAATGTCATCTGTGGAAGCCGTAATACTGTAAAAAGCACGACCAATTATTTTAGCCGGCCCGGCTAAAATAACTGGATGGCCTACCTGCCTGTCAGCCTTCCATCTGTGCACAAACTTATCTCGTGCCCTCATTGGTCATGTGCGCGTTTGTGTGTGTTGAAGGAGGGGCTCTGTAAGGAAGTGGCAGATTTTCTCCGGTTGTGTATTTTCAAATTCTAGCGATCTCGAGCCGGTTTCTCAAATTTACCTACCCCACCTTTAAGCTGTGGGTTACTATGTTTGATAGCATATCAACTTCCCCTGTATGTTGCTCCTGCTGCAGGTCCAGCCTCCTACTCTCTGCCCCCAGTGCTGGGAAACAACACTGTGGACAAATCTGCAGCTCCCTCTTTCTCTCTTTATGGCCGCAACAAACATGGCAACTTCCATGATGACCTGAGGAAGGTACATATAAGTGTCAAACACATTTCTTAAACAATAAATCCTGAAATCCTGGGATGTAGTTATTTTCAATAATTGTGTTCCCCTCCAGACTCCAGGCCCTGCTGCGTACAAAGTTGTGGACCCTAGTATTTACAAGGAAAAACGTCCCCAGATCAGCATGATAGGCTGCAACTTTCCACCTGGGGTATCTACAAAGACTCCAGGACCTGGTGCACACTATCCTGAGATGGTAAGAAACCACATTGAAGATTAAATAAATATATCACAAATATGTAGCATTTCCACTAACATTTCTCTCCACCAAGGTGACCTTCACAAGATCCAAAGCTCCGAGCTTCTCTTTTGGAATGCGTCATTCGGATTACATTGCACCCCTCATTGAGCAAATGCCTGAATAATATCGTGTTGATCTCTTGTTTGAACTGGAATTCATCATGAATAAAGCAGAAAAAGCCCAATGAAGTAAAAAAAAAAAGCAAGTTTTGATCAGATTTTTTTTTGCCACAGTTAGCTACTTATTGTATTAGCACTAGTTATTTTGTCAGGGTTATATCCACAATCAGTATTTTAAGTAAATTATACTGAATTTGACAAAGGTTTTAAGAGTAGTACATTTGACATTTCTAATAATGTAATAATATGATCTTATTTTAAAATAGATATTTACTATTTGTTGTCTAAGCACAATATTTAAAGACATTTGTTTAGCTTTGAAAATAAAGTCTTTAGTATTGTAATTTTAAATGGAAATAATAAAACACGTTAAAATTTCTTCTCCATTTTACCAAATGTAAGACATTAATTCCTCAAATATGTGCAGCATATGTGCTTCAAGGACATCTCTTGTGGTAAAAGGTAGAGGAATGATTCAAAATTATAATTTGTATAATCTGACTGCATGATACACTTACTTCCTTTTTGAATACTTATTAATTTGGTCCTGCAGATGCAGAGTTGACTACAATCCTCATTCTTCACTGCCATTGAAAGCAAATGGTAAGAAAAAGGTTTAGAGCTACTATAAATACTATAAAGGAGGTGTGTCCTAATTAAACAGTTTAGTGATACAATGCTGCTACTACTCACTGGGTGAGATCACATGGAAGCTATAGAAAAAGAAAACAACATTTTGCAATAAAAAAAGAGCTGACATTTGGGGATAATATATGAAATAAAAAGTGGAATAAAAAATTATAAAAACAGATGTGTCCCACTCTTCGAGCAATTCTGCAAAGATTTTGAGACAGTAGGTCACATGACATTGTGTGGATATACAAGTGGAATACAATCCAGTAAAAAACACATTCATTAGTAATACTTGGTATGACATGGGAATCAATGGGTCATGTGACATTGAAGCTTTTGAAAATAAATAAAACGATCTTCTATTAAAATATGTTTCAAATAAATTCATGACACTTCAGGAAATTAAAATAGCTGTCCAATTCTCATAATTTTGTTCACTAATTGGGGCAAGTTAGCACAGACAAAAAAAATCATTAGCCTTCTTGACAGGCACTTGTAAGGGCAGCAGGAACCCTGACAACGAGGTCCTTCAGGCGTCCCCGTTGCATAGAAACGGAAACCTTCGTCGACATCATAACACATCTACAAACTTTAACGTCTGGATACCTAGATGAGTGCATCAACAACCGGTTCATTGTGATTGAAGATCAGAATATACACAAGACAATCGGAGATATTTTGATAAGTGCTCTAGCTTAACAAATGCTAACAAGGCTACTAGCTGTTACCTAGCTGTGTTCACTGGTCCAAGGTTCACTGTGTGTACAGAACTCAAAAGAGACTTTAAAAGACACAATTCACGTCTCTGGACTATTCTCAGGTTTAGTTAGCAACCGTTTAGTATGTGAGGATAAAC